CCAAAAAGTGGGGGGGGGGGGGGGGGGGGTGTCCAAATAAGAGACTATGTAAGAATCAAACGTCTATTTTCTGTCGTTCTAACTTTAGCGTGTATTTTGGGGCCGACTGCCCTTCTATCATGACTTGTCTCTCTTTTCTCTCAGGGTCTGATGTTATGCATACTCGTCTACATGCTTTAACAGAGCTGTAGCTCTCATTGCAGTTTCTCATTCTTTCTTCATCCCTCCCTCCTGCTCAAGGAAGTCTTAGCGCCTTAGGACAAGGATGAACTGGATTGTTTACAAAAGCAGAATTTTCTCAAAGAAACTAAGCATTATTTATTTTTAATCATTTTGCTCTCTCTGTTGCTGCTTTTCCCACTGGTGAACACAACTGTGTGTGTGATGAGGGAGTAGGGGGGGAGGGCTTTTCATAATAATAACCTCTAACAAATACTTACCAAATTCACGAATGATAAGCCACCATAGCTGTGTGCCACGATGAAGATGCTTTTCGCAAGTGATTTAGAGATGAAGTGGTCCCACACATAGAGAGTGTGTTCCTCTGGAGTGCTGTTTTCCTGCAAGGAGAGAGTGGGAATAAAACCATGGAGTTAAAAACCATGAAAGTATACCAAAGTGCTGTACAAGAAAGTCAAAAACAATAATAGTAATTAATTAAAATACATAATACCTGTAAAACTACACATCAAACGCCTGTGAATACAAATGGGTCTTAAGATGTGATTTGAACATCTGCAGAGAGGTCGAAGAACGCACAAAGAAAGGAAGATCATTCCATAGTCTAGGGGCCACAACTGAAAATGCTCGACCACCTCTACACTTAAGACTTGATTAGCGATCTTGGGGAGGACTGAATAACTAACAGATCCTTGATATACTCTGGGGCCAAGCCATTGATGGCTTTAAAAATGAATAACAGAATGTTTAAATAATTTGTTGTTTAACTGGTAGGCGTAGAGAGGCCAGAATCAGAGTTATAAGGTATCTTTTCTTAGTATTTGTCAGCAGTCTGGTTGCAGCATTTTGAACCAATTGTAACCTCGACAGGAACGACTGACAAACCCCTGCAAATATCGCATTACAATAATCCAAGCGTGAAAATATAAAAGCATGTATAACTTTTTCATGATCATTCTTTGATAAAACTGACTTCAATTTTGCAATCCTCCTCAACTGAAAGAAACTATTTTTTACTACTGTGTTTATTTGACGATTGAATTTGAGCTCAGAATCAAAAATTATGCCCAAGTCAGTGCCATGACTTTTTACACAGGATGAAAACTGCCCCAGACTCGGTTTTGGGGTAAACAATGTGCTTTTTTTCCCCCAAAAAGCACAATTTCAGTCTTTTTATCATTCAACATTAAACAATTCGAGTTCATCCAACATTTCACCTCCTCAAGGCAATTCAAAAAGGAATTTTCAGCAGTATTATTTCCTGCTTTAAAAGGCCGGTAAAACTGTGTGTCATCAGCATAACTATTATACAAAATGCCAAATTTATTAAATATAGAGCCCAGTGGAATCATGTATAGAGAAAAAAAGCAGCAGCCCTAAAATAGAGCCCTGAGGCACCCCATAACTTACAGGAGCAGCAGAAGAACAATAATTCCCAATCTTTACAGTGAAACTTCTACCCTCCAGGTAAGAATAGAACCAACGAGAAGCCACCCCATTTACCCCAACAAACCGCTCAAGATGCTCTAACAAAATGATATGATTCAGTATAATTTGGTCTTTAGTCTTCACCAGGATGTTCATACCATGAAAACAAACAGTAACTTTCAAAACAAAAACAACTTCTCCAGCCGAAAAACACGGTGGACTAAATTAAACTATTGAAACTTATCTGCAAAAATGCCTCATTCCAAACTCCTGCACCTTATTGACATCAGACAGACATGACCACTCACATTTACATGCCAATTTAAGAGCTTTCCTGGAGCATTTCAGCCCTTGGTAGTGCATCTGAAGCAAACAATAAACTATGGGTGGCAAGGCACTGTCAAAAGATCTCTGGAATAAAGTTGTGGACAGGCACAAGTCGGGAGACGGATACAAAAAAAATTCAAAGGCTTTATCAATGCCTAGAAGCACAGTAAAGTCTAGTATTAAGAAGTGGACGGTATTTGGGACAACACAGACCCTCCCTGAATCAGGACGTCACTCCAAACTGGATAAAAGAGCCAGGAGGAAACTGGTCAGAGAGGCTACCAAGAGGCCTACAGCAACTCTGAAGCAGTTTCAGGAATTTATGACAAAGAGTGGTTATTGTGTGCATGTAACAACAATATCACAAATTCTCCACAAATGTGGCTTGTATGGGAGGGTTGTAAGAAAAAAGCCACTCCTCAAGAAAGGCCACATGCAGTCACGACTGAGCTTTGCCAGAAAACACCTTGAAGATTCTGAGGCAGATGAGACTAAAATTGAATTATTTGGCCTCAACACCAAACAATGTCTGGCGGAAATCCAATACAGCTCACCATCCAAATAACAGCATTCCTCCAGTAAAGCATGAAGGTGGTAATATCCTGTTATGGGGGTGTTTCTCTGCAGCAGGGAATATAGGATATTCAGCTCTGTCAGGATATAAGGAAAAATGGATGGGGCAAAATACCATCAAATTCTTGAGGAAAATCTGCTGCCCTCTGCAAGAAAGTTGTCAATGGGAAGAAGGTTTACCTTCCAACATGACTATGACCCAAAGCACACAGCAAAACTGAACACACAGTGGTTGAAGGAGAAAAAGGTGAATGTCCTTGCATGGCCTAGTCAGAGCCCAGACTTAAACCCCACTGAAAATCTGTGGAGTGACTTGAAGACTGCAGTCCACAAATGGTCACCATCAAATTTAACCGGACTTGAGCAGTTCTGCAAAGAAGAGTGGGCAAATATTGCAAAGACTAGAAGTGCAAAGTTAGTAGAGACAAATCCCAACAGACTAAAGGCTGTAATTAAAGCAAAAGGTTGTTCAACAAAATACTGACACAAGGGGGTGATCCTTTTTCCAACTCAGTGATTCTGGGTTTTTATTTATTTTAGCATGTTGGTGTTATATCTTTTAAGTTGCACTGAGTAAATACAGCTGGATAAAACAAAAACAGTATCCGTCTTCATTTCAGGCTGCAAAGCAACAAAATGTGATTATT